CTGCCAGAGGCTCCCATAGACTGCCCAGGCCTCCCAGCGGGCACCCACATTCAGAGGGCTTGGTGCGGTCCAATCCAATTCTGGTTTCCCAGCTTTATGACTGGAGTCTCTGTGATCTCATTAGGCCAGGTCAACTGTTTCTTCGGGTTTCTCCAGCATGATTGCTCATTCCTCTTCCCTCTCCACAACTGGATTCTGGGAGTATGGCTCAGTGCTTAGTTTTGGGAGCCTGCTTCTGCATGGATCAGCTACTGTATGAAGGCTCTAGGATGGCAATTAGGGTAAACATCAATCTCATTATAGGGGAAGGGTATCAAAGGCAGTCTCTCTACTACTGCCTAGATTCTTAATTGGGGTCATCCTTCTGGATCCCTGAATATTTCCCTAGTGCCAGATTTCTCTCCAAACCTATACTAGATCCCTCTATTAAGATATCTTTTCCTTGCCCTCCTCTGTTCCTCCCCTGTCTCAGTCTTCCTGATCCCTCTTGTTCTCCTTCCCCCTCCTCTTCTCCCCTTCCCTTTTGCCTATCTTCCTCCCTAGCTCCCCCCTCCCCGTGCTCCAAATTTGCTCATGGGTCCTTGTCCCTTTTCCCTTCTTTGGGAGACCATGTGTTTCTCTCTTAGGTTCCTCCTTGTTTCCAAGTTTCTCTGGAGGTGTGAATTGTAGGCTGGTAGTTCTTTTCTCTATGTCTAATATCCATATATGAGTGAGTACACACCATGTTTGTCTTTCTGTAATTGAGTTACCTCATTCAGGATGTTTTCTCCCAGTTCCATTCATTATCCTGAAATTTTCAAGATTTCATTGTTTTTTCCCACTAAGTAATACTCCATTGTGTAAATGTACCACATTTTCTCCATCCATTCTTTACTTGAGGGGTATCTAGGCTATTTCCAGGTTCTGGCTATTACAAAAAATGCTGCTATGAATATAGTTGAACATATGTCTTTGTTGTATGAATGTGCATTCTTTGGGTATATGCCCAAGAGTGGAATTACTAGATCTTGAGGTACACTCATTCCTATTTTCCTGAAAAACCACCACACTGATTTCCAAAGTGACCACACAAGTTTGCACTTCCTTCAGCAATAGTGGAGTGTTCCTCTTCCCCCACATCCTCTCCAGCATAGACTGCCATTGGTGTTTTTTATTTTAGCCATTCTGGCCGGTGTAAGATGGTATCTCAGAGTTGTTTTGAATTGCATTTCTCTGATGGCTAAGGATTTGAGCACTTTCTTAAGTGTCTTTCAGCTATTTTAGACTCCTCTATTGAGAATTCTCTATTCTGTTTCTCACTTTTTAATTACATTGTTTGGTATTTTGGTTGTTAGCTTCTTGAGTTCTTTGTAAATTTTGGAAATTAGCCTTCTGCCAGATGTGGGGTTGGGGAAGATCTTTTCCCATTCTGTGGACTGCCTTTTGTCTTGTTGACTATGTCCTTTGCCTTACAGAAGCTTCTCAGTTTCAGGAGGTACCATTTACTAATTGTTGATCTCAGTGTCTGTGTTACTGGTGTTATGTTCAGTAATCAGTCTCCTGTACCAATTCATTCAAGGGTACCTACCACTTTCTCTTCTAAGAGTTCAGTGTGGCTGGATTTATGTTGAGGTCTATGATCCATATGGATCTATCTGCAGTCTTCTATATGTCAACATCCAGTTATGCCAGAACCATTTGTTGGAGATGCTTTCTATATCCATTGTGTAACTTTAGCTTCGTTGTCAAAGATAAGGTGTTTGTAGGTATGTGGGTTAATATCAGGCTTTTCAATTGGATTCCATTGTGCCAGTACCAAGCAGTTTTCAGGACTATAGCTCAATTATAGGCTTCAAGTCAGGGATGGTGATGCCTCTGGAAGTTCCTTTATTGTACAGGGTTGTTTTGGCTATCCTGGGTCTTTTGTTTTTTCATATAAAGTTGAGTAATGTTCTTTCAAGGTCTGTGAAGAATTGTGCTGGGATTTTGATGAGAATTGCATTGAATCTGTAGATTGCTTTTGGCAGGATTGCCATTTTTACTACCTTGATCCTACCTATCCAAGAGCATGGGAGATCTTTCCATTTCCTGGTGTCTTCTTTAATTTCTTTCTTTAAAGACTCAAAGTTCTTGTGATACAGGTCTTTCACTTGTTTGGTTAGCTTTACCCCAAGGTATTTTATGTTGTTTGTGGCTATTGTAAAGGGTAATGTTTCTCTGATTTCTTTCTCAACCCATTTATAGTCTATATACAGTAGGACTGCTAATTTTTTTTTGTTAATCTTGTATCCTGCCACTTTGCTGAAGGTGTTTATCAGCTGTAGGTGTTCCCATGTACAGTTTTTCAGGTCACTTATGTAAGCTATTATCGTCTAAAAATAGTGAGTTTGACTTATTCCATTCCAATTTGTATTATTCTGTTAGATAATAAAATGACTACACCAGCTTGCTTTTTAGGCCCATTTGTTTGGAATACCTTTTCCCAACCCTTAACTCTGATATAACATCTAGTCTTAATGTTGAGGTGTATTTCTTGTACACAGCAGAAGCATGAATCCTGTTTTCACATCCATTTTGTTAGCCTGAGTTTTTTTATTGGTGAAGTGAGCCATTGATATTGAGAGATATCAAAGACCAATGATTGTTGATTCCTGTCGTTTTGTTGTTGTTGTTGGTGGTGGTGGTGGTGTGTTTCTGTGTTTCTCTTCTTTTGATTTTTCTGATCTGAAATTATTTATTCCCTGTGTTTTCATGGGTGTAGTTAACCTCCTTAGGTTGAAGTTTTCCTTCCAGCACCTTCTGTGGGACTAGATTTATAGATATATGCTGTTTAAATTTAACATTATCATATAATTTCTTATTTTCTCCATCTATGGTGATTGAAAGTTTTGCTGGGTTTTCGGGATAATATTGACACACAAACTGAAAGGAGGGAACCTTAAATTGAGAAAATTCATCCATAAGGTCCAGCTGTAAGGCATTTTCTTAATTACAGAGGAGGGCTCAGCCCATTGTGGGTGTTTCCAACCCTGGGCTGGTGGTCCTGGGTTCTATAAGAAATCAGGCTAATGGAACCAAGCCATTAGGAACAAGCCAGTAAACAGTACCCACTCTGTGGCCTCTGCATCAGCTTCTACCTCGAGGTTCCAGTAGTGTTTGAGTTGCTCCCTTCAATGATGGACTATGATGTGGAATTGTAAGCCAAATAAACTCTTTCCATCTTACTTTCGGTCATAGTGTTTCATTGCAGCAATAGAAATTCTAACTAAGATACTAGGTATAGTAGTCTGGGCTGGCTGGCATCTGTGGTCTCAGAGTTCATAACACATCTGTCCCCCAATAACCCAGGCTGTTACTAAGACAATGGATTGCTTGCCACAAACTGACAGTGAGGCCCCATTGCCTAATACAATACCCAAACGACTCACTGCACATGGAGAAATTAAGCTGGTCTTTGGTTTGATACTCTGCAAACCATCAAAGGAGAAACATAAATATATCAATAAAATGACTCCTAATATCATTCTTCTATAGTCATACATCAGTGTCTTACTCAATCATCATCAGAGAATCTTCCTCCTGCAGTCAATGGGAACAAATGCAGAGGCATTTCTCACAGATACGGTGGAACACACAGCTCAATATGGGATGTCTCTATCAAATCCCTCCCCTCAGAACTCAGGGAACTCCGTAGAAAAGGAGGCAGAAAGAGTACAAAGCCAGAGGAGAATTCTCTATTTAGTTCTGCACCCCACTTTTTAATTGAATTGTTTGGTGTTATGGTGGCTAGCTTCTTGAGTTCATTGTATATTTTGGAAATCAGCCTTCTGTCAGATGTAGGGTTAGTGAAGTTCTTTTCCCATTCTGAGGGTTGTCATTTTGTCTTTCTGTTTCCTTTGCCTTACAGAAGTTTCTCAGTTTCAGGAGGTCTTTACTAATTGCTGATCCCAGTGTCTGTGCTCCTCAAATTGTTCCACTCAATAGAAGCAGAAGAAACATTGCCAAACTCTTTTTACGAGGCTATAATTACCTTGGTACCCAAGCCACACAAAGACACAATTAACAAAGAGAACTACAGACCGATATCCCTCATGAACATCAATGCAAAAATACTCACCAAAATACTGGCAAATCGATTTCAAGAATACATCAGAGAAATCATCCACCAGGATCAAGTAGGTTTCATCCGAGGAATGCAGGGTTGGTTCACCATATGAAAATCCTTCAATGTAATCCACCACATTAACAAACTACAAAAGAAAAACCACATGATCATCTCACTTGATGCTGAAAAAGCCTTTGACAAAATCCAACACCCCTTCATTATAAAGGCCTTGGAGAGATCAGGAATAACAGGAACATACCAAAACATAATAAAAGCAATATACAGCAAACCAACAGCCAACATCAAACTAAATGGAGAGAAACTCAATGAGATTCCTCTAAAATCAGGAACAAGAGAAGGCTGTCCACACTCTCCATATCTCCTCATTATTGTACTTGAAGTTCTAGCTAGAGAAATAAGACAACAAAAGCATTGTTCCTCAGAACTGAATAATGAGACTATTGTTGAAGGTATCACATAAAATTGTATAAAAACTTGAAGAAAATCATTTCAAAAGCTGTTATGCAAATATAATGATAGACAAAAATAACCAATTCACTAAAGAAAAGTGTAAATTCTATCTACATTAAATATGAAATGCATTATAAAAATAACATACCCCACCTGTCATATTTATGAAAATTTAAATGATAAATGTCTAGTGTTCAGGATGGTGAAAAGCAGTAAGGTTGTGGCATAAAAGTTGTATAATTTATTTCTAGAGAATAATTTGAGATTTTACATAAAAATCTTTTAAAATTGTTTAACCCAGCCATTTCACTTTTAGGGATGTATCCTAGGAAATGAGTTGAGATGTTCCCAGATAAGAGGTACTCATAATTGCTAGCCACTGAATCTAAATGTCCAACAACAGGAAACCATTTATAAACATTTCACTGCTGTCTCTGTTCCTTAGAGCCAGGTCCAACAAGATTCTGCTTGGAAAAGGGTCTGTGGTCAACGCTCACGGAGTAAAGACCAAACGTGTAAACAGGTTAACACTGTGACCAAGACTGAAGCGTTACATAGACTCATAAGCAGGTAAGTGTACCTTAGTTATGTGCATCAATTATCAGAGCTCACCAGTTTGAGTTGACTTTAACAATTAGTTATCTTAATGGAAATTTTGTTTTTATGTTATAAATAAGATGGTTTGCTCTTTGAATTCTTTACATAACAGATAATCCTATACTCAAAAATTTTGGAACAGTGAACATTTGTTCTTTCACATTTTCTATGAGTTCTATGAGTTGGAGACATAGTCACAGAAAAGAACACTCAGAAATTATTATTACTGGGGGGTCACACTAGCTGTTGTCTGTGATCACTGAAGGTCATGCCGTCCACAACTTACACCATTGCTAGTATAAAAGCCCTTGGAATTCTTAGCTTGCTAAAACTTTCCAAGTAACTCCCTCTCTTATCACAATGGAGCCTATGGAAGGATTAGAGCAGACAGACAGACAAGAAGTTAACTCAGCAGTGTACAGATGGGTCACCATCTAATGTCAGTTCCTTTCTACTTTACTGAAGTTCTAGAGAATCAGAGGAGATTCTTGGGCTCAGAAAAAGGATTGAAGGGCAGTGATAAGTAAGTTAAAAATCCAAGTTGGATGAAAGTATCCACCAAACTGAGAGACAGCCAGGGTTGCTTCCCAGGTTTGCCTCTTCTGCTTTATCCATATGGGATGACAGCAAGCCCACTGGCCGGGCCATTGTTTCAAGCATACCTACTTCTCATATGTCATCTACTTAGTGCCATTTCTGGTATTCAAGCCACATATGCTGTCTGTTTCTTCCTAACTCAGTGTGAACTAACACAGGAGGGAAGGAGAGGTGACAAACCTGCACCCAATCCAGTGCCTTGTTTTATCTTCAGTGTTCAAGGCCATCTTCCCAAGGCTTATGAACTCATCCAGATAACTGAATACATTAACAGGAAAGCCCTACGATATGTGATGGTCTGAGTCAGACAATCAGTTTGGAGAATTTTGAAAATGTACTTTGCCTTAAGTCCTTCATTATAAGACCTCAGCCAAGAGATCTGTCAATACATTGGTATCCTTCTTTCTCTAAATCTTTAAGAATACACCTTTTCCTCCTGAATTGACCCAGATGATCTCATCTTGCCTCCTACACTCTATTCAGGAACATGGAATGTGTGATCTATTTTTGGCTCCCCTAGAAAAACTGCTTTGGGGCATAATCTCTTTCTCAGTCCTTCCTAGGATGAGCTGGGTGACATGCAAAGTATTTTCTACTTCTAATTTTTACAATTCCCCCCTAAACAGCAGGTAAACAATTTTAATACCAGGTCATTTTCATTATGAGTCTACTAGAGAATACATCATTGCATTAAAATAAACAGTAATAATACAAAAAAGTTTGCTCATGCCGTAATAACAACCTTCCTAAATTACAGTGATTCTGTCACACAGCAGTCTAGTACAAAATGTGGTTTTTATATCAGAAGACACAGAATTTATTATTTTCATCCTCCCTGGAATTTTAGAGCAATTGGAAGTAGGTTTCTGAGAGAACAATTCAATACATTAGCTCTCAAATAAAAAAATATTTTTTCTGCCCAGAAATGACTCCTTTAAAGCCCTACTTCAACAAAATGTTGTCTATTCTGGTAATTAGTCTGGTGTGCACTAATTTCACAGTACATTGTTTGCTTGTGTAACTGGGGCTATTAGGCTAGATTCAGAAGTTGCACTACACCTAGTCTTTAATTAATTAAACGAACATGTGGAGAAGTAACTGGCAAGGCCAGACCGAGCCATGTCCTCACTCTCTTGGCAAACAAGAGGCAAAAGAAATCATTGAGAAAGACTGTCACCTGGAACTCCAGTCACAATTTTCTATTCATGAGGATGAGGAAGACTCAGTATAAAGCCACTTCTCCCAAAGTAGACATATTAATTCAGTTCTGAACAACTTCTCACTGTTCACTCACTCAATATGTGAGGTATTTACAAATGTAAGGCAAACTGATGTCATTAGTTCACAATCTCACCAAAGTAAATACTTTCCTATATACCTAGGTTTCGATAGAAGGCAGAAAATGTACTTCTAGATAGCATTGCTTCATTTACCATAGACTAGATTGACATAGGAGAATGTTTTTCCCCAGAATTTATGCACCCTTTAAAGATACTAAAAACCCCATATTCTTCCAGCATGTTGGACTTAGGCATTCTGTGCAAGCTGCTTATGTGTACAAACACAAACAGGGTTCCTTCCACTGGTCTGGTCGGTGTGGTAGTTTGGACATAAACTGTTTCCCAAGAGGCTCATTGAGAGATGAGTGGATCTACTCATGACTCCATAGCTGAATGGGCTGTTAGGAGAAGGCGACTATGTGGAGGAAGCAGGTCCCTGGAGAGGTCTCTGGTCTTTTCCTATCATTGTCATTTCAGGTCACTCTGAAAGGAGCAGCCTCCTGTACCATCTTCTCTAAACACCATAATATCCCACCTCACCTCCAACCCAAAGCAATGGACCCTGATGACCTTGGACTAAGAGCTCTGAAACCATGAGCCAGAATTAACATTTCCTCCTTTAAATATTTTCTCTTGGGTGTTTACCAAAGTGATGTCAATTTGACTAACACAGTTCAAGATCCCTGAAGCACCAGAACATGCTTACTATTTTTTTGGAACTTCACACACAGCAACTGAGAGACCAGATAACTGCCCCAAAGCACCAAAACCAGTGTGATATCCCAGAGCCATGCTCTTAAGGCTCACCCCTACTGCCACACATGCATAGTTGCAAGTCTATTCTCAAAAACGAATAAAAGTATCTTTCAATGTTCTCTGTTTTATGAAAACCTTCCATAAATACAGAGGTATAACCCCAAATATTAGTGTAGTGGATATTTTATAATGACTTAATTAGGGTCAAACCTCACTTTCTTTTTAGTCCTCCTTGTGATAGTTCACTGGTGAAATGTATATTGCTGAACATGGGTCCCTCTCTGTCAGAAGAGAACCACAGGCTGGAGAATGCTAGAAGCCAGAGAAATGCCAGAACATGGTGCTATTCAGTGTCTGTTCCTGCTACATAATTAGGAGATAAGTATGAGAAAATTCAGAATTCTTTAATGCACTTAAAATCGCTGTCATGAAGCAATGGCTGGCAGATTTGCATGTGAAAGGGCTGTGAACAGCATGTAGGAAGAATTGTGAAATTACTATAGTATTTATTATTATAACTTGGTGTCATGCTAGTCTCATTTTAGAATGAACCATAAGAATAGATTAAATTAGTGCCATTTTCTTTCCTTGTTAACATCTTTGTCACAAGAGCAAGCTGTCAGAATTTTAGTATCTAAAATAGTCCACAGATTATTCCTCATGATAGCCGGCCATTTCTAAGCCCTGGACTTTGATTGGCTGCTCTCAGCCCTGTCCTGGCAGATATGGGCTGAATGGAGGGAAATAACAATCCTTTAAGCAACTAATCAGGTTGCAGACACTCTGGTAAAGGCAGGAAAGAAAGTATAGTGCTACAATTTTCAAACAGCATTTGGTAGAAAACATTTCCATCTTAAGAAAATAATTTGGACCCGGGCTGAAAAATATATTTGACATAAGACTTTAGGGTTGTTTTAGCGTCTCTCTTTTCTTAAGTGTCTAAGACAATTAGCAACGAGCATTTCTAGCCCAAGACTCTTAGCAAACTTGAGACAAGTACTGATTTTATGGCTATTATCTTCGATCTTTTCCAGATTTTTATTTATACCCCACCGTTACTCTGGTCTGTCTTTCTACATCTGAAGTGAATGTTCCTTTCCACCATGATTTTCCCTCTCACAACTCTTGGTTTCTCCAAAACTGTCACGAGTTATATCTGTCATGTCAACACTGTTATCAGCATCATCCTTTAGCTATTAAAACTGTCCCAGTTTGGAAAATCACAACCCATGTAATTCCTTGCTATCTTATGCTCCTGCCTTAGCTTGCTCCCTGACTGTGATTTTAGCACAGAATTTGGCCTCACTCCTCTCTCTGGTTCTCACAGGAGCTTGAACAGAGAAGGTATCCATAGGCAGACACTTCTTTCCCACCCATAAGTTCCCAAATAACTGATATGGAGACTTAGTATTAATTATGAATACCCAGCCTTAGCTTGTCTTGTTTCTATCCAGCTTTTCTTAAATAATACCACCTACCTTTTGCCCCCGAGCTTTTATATTTCTCTATTTTATGTACCTTTGTTTCCTTCTTACTCCATTGCTGGTTGTATAACAGGGTGGCTGGCCCCTGACATCTACCTCTCCTTCTTTCCTTGCTCCTTGATCTTCTTTTTCCTCATTATCTTGCTCCTATATCTTCTTGTTCTTTCCTTCTATTTATTCTCTCTCCCTGGAAGTCCTGCCTACTTCTCTCGCCTGCCTATCTATTGGCCATTCAGCTCCTTATTAGAACAATCAGGTGTTTCAGGTAGGCAAAGTATCTATCACAGCTTTACAGAGCTACATAAAAGAAGATAACACATCTTTGCATCATTAAAACAAATGTTCCACAGCATAAACAAATGCAACACATCTTAAAATAACATTCCACAACAATATCTGATGTAATATTTCTCAAAGTAAGGCAAGATATAGAGCTAAATCACTCCACTGTCCAAACTACAATCATTGCCTTCTTGTTTTCTGTATTGCATTGGACCCAGGTGTCTAGGTGAGTTCTATTGTTGTGAAGAGACACCATGACCATAGCAACTCTTATAAAAGAAAGCATTCAATTGGGGCTTGCTTAGAGTTTCAGAGGTTTAGTTCATTACATCATGGTGGGGAGTATGGCTGCATACAGGCAGACATGGTGCTGGGGAAGTAGCTGAAAGCCATATCCTCATCAGCAGGCAACAGGAAGAGAGAGGAATACTGGGCCTGGCCTTAAGGCCTAACCCCAGTGTCATATTTCCTCCAACAAAGCCACGCCTACTCCAAGGTCACACCTCCTAATTCTTTTAAAGAGTGCCATTCCTAGTGACTGGCATTTAAATATATGAATCTATGGTGACCAATCTCATTCAGACCATCACACCAGGGCTTTTGTGTGTGTGGTAGGCAAAGGCCTCTCCCACTGAGCTACATCCTAGCTCTCTTTTCACTTATATTAAGGTAGAGTCTTGCAAATGGTCCAAGTGGACCTCACACTCACTCACTCTGTAAGACAGGCTGATCTTGTACTTGTGGTTTTCCTGTCTCGGATTCACAAGTAACTGTGATTAACAACCTCTGTTACCAAGCCTGATCATTAACACTCTTTAAACTTGAGAAATTATTTTTTTCCCTTTGTTTTACATTTCACCCTGTGTTGCATTGGTTGAGCTAGCTGGGGCAGTGCTGGAGAGCTCATCTGGGTAGTGACAATGAGGGAAATCTGGCAAGATGACCAACCCAGCTACCACCCAGGCCAGAAATGGGGCTATGAGTTGGCCCATCCCAACATCCACCTCAACTATAAACTGTTGAAGCATTTGAAGGGGAAAATCTGAAGATCCAAAACAGCAGGATCTCCATGACACAGGACAACAACAACAGGATATCCAAGAGAAGCTCCAGTGAGAGCCCATTACCAGGGATGGAGTAGAAACCACAGGCCTCAAACCAGGCCAACGACTATTAGCAATAAACACTTATAAGTAAAGATGTGTGATTCACTGTGTTATACTACAGCTTCCACAACAAGATTAATTTGTTGTTTGGCTTTTGATTCTTTGTTTTGTTTGTTTGTTTGTTTAATTTGGTTTTGTTTTGTGGGGTAGCTTGCAAAGGCAGAGGGCATGTGCCAGGACATGGGGAGATAAATAGGATCAGAATTCATGATGTGAAATTCACAAAGAATCAATAAAAGTGAAAAAACACATGAAATCTCATAATATTCAAAATGAAAGTATACAAAAGGAAGATACCCATGTTACAATAATATTGACTTTTTCCTACTCATCTCTTATGGGTAGAGGGTCATTTGCTTTCTTCTAGAATTTAGAGTAGTCACTACCTAGTCTGCTTGCCAGTGGCAAGGTGTGTATGAAAGATGCTATTGTGAGAGTTGCTTAAAGTGTAAACACTTGAGAATGATGCTTCCATCATTTCCAGAATATATGGAGACTCAATGGACCAGAATGGTAGAGCCAGTTCTGATTACAACAGAATGGTGTCATTTTTTCAACCATCCTTCTGTGGTGACACATTGCTCTAGAAATCACTGTTATAGAATGTAAACATTATATCATCATATCCCGTGTTATTTAAATAATGAAAGTAAAACTTGTGACAGAGAAGCAGTTAATAGGAAGAGAGCAATTGCCTTGAATGCTCGCAAAGCCCTGTGTTCAATCCCTAGAAATACTGATGAAAAAAAAGATTAATTATTTAGAAAGTATTGGGTGAGTCTAGAATAAAGTATTGTGGCCCAGCATAGACACCTTAACATAGGAGATGATTAAAGAATGAGGTAACTGAGTGTGAAAATACTTTCCAAATGGACAAAATGTAGGAAGGTGCTGGTTGTATTATTAATAATAAAATCAACAAATGGAAATGAAAAAAGGAAAAGAAAAATTCAGCCTGTGATAAGACTACTGTGGAAAATGTACACACTATCCTTTGACAAGGTCAAGGCCACTCAGTCTAGAAAGCAGGTGATACTAAAATACAACCCCATGTGTCTTGTTACACAATGTGCTGTGTGGTCTATTGAGGACTCTGCCTTGTATCCAGATTTCATGGGATCTGAAGTAAATATAATTTGTAAAGGAGAAATGTGTCATCACTGACTACAGCTATATGTGTCTCATACATGTACACATATGGAATAAAAGTGAACGTTTACAATAAGCAATCTTATCAAATTTGAAGAAGTCACTCATGCAGCACAAATCCAGAAGAATTTCCTAATAATGCAACTCTTCAAACACTTTATCATACTTTATTTACCTCCAGATATTAGGTTGCAGAATTTTAAGTATGTTTTTTTAATGTGACTATTCTGTTTTTCCAGAACCATTTTTTGAAGAAATTTTACCATCCCACCCCATTGAGTGGTCTTGGCACATTAAATGATGGGGGAAGTCCTTCTGTGTGTGTGTCTCTCTTATTGGCTGATGAATAAAACACTGTTGGCCAATAAGGAAGCAAGATAGGCAAGACTAGGAGCGAAGGAGAATTCTGGGAAATGTAGTCAAGAGAGAGGGTTGCCATGTGGTCTCCCTGGAGGAGAGGATGTGACAGGAGGACATCCTCAGAAAGACAAGTCCTTATAAAAATATATATTAGTAATTATTGGTTAATAATTAAGTCAGAGCTAGTCAATGAGAAACCATAACAAACAGCCAACAACTTCATAATTAATATAGCGTCCTGCATGTTCATTTGGGACTGATGTGGCTTAGGGACCAGGATGCTTGTTAAAACTGATGATCAATCATTACATATATGAAGGCTTACTGCTGTCCTATCATTTCTATTGAATCAGTGTTTCTGTCTGTCTTTGTCAGTACTGCAGTGTCTTAATTAATAAAACTTAAACAGAGAGTTCCCCAAAGAAGCAATACAAATGGACAGAAAACACTTCTAACAGTGTTCATTATCCTTGGCCATGGGGGAAATAAAAATTTAAAACCACTTTAAGATTCTGCTCCACATCAGTCTATCACCAAGAACGTGCTGGTGTAGATGTGGGGGGAAAGATCACTTACACACTGTTTGTGTAAGTACTAGTACAGCCACTTTGGAAATCATTTAGAACTGCTTCTAAAAAATGCATAAGTAAAGCTGTCGTATGATCCAGCTGTACAACTTCTGAACATATACACAAAGGACTCTGTATTGTACTGCACAGCCATG